CACCACCTCCGCCGCCGCCATCCAGGCGCCCGTGCTCGAGGCGCTGGGGGAGAGCCACCTCGGCTACAACGTCCTGCACGTCCACTACGAGGCCGCGGGTCTGCCCACCCCTCTGCCTCTGCCTACCCACTGCGCCTGCGCCTCGCCTCGCCGCCGCCAATGCCGCCTCCACCGCCGCTGCCACCGCCGCCTCCTCCCACCGCCGCCTCCCTCCCGCCTCTCCTGCCTCCCCGGCTCCACCTCTCGACGCCCCTCCGCCTCCAACCCTCGTCCTCCACCCGCCGCCGCGCCGCCCTCGCCTCGCCCGCCTCGCCCTCGCCCGCCTCGCCACTCGCCCCGGCACTGTGCCCCGACACGCCTGCCCCTCCCTCCCTCTCGGCTCCAGGTGCTGCCCTCCTCGCCACGCTGCGCGGAGGCCTCGGCGAAGAGTTCACGCCTGCCCTCGAGTCGGCCTGGCGAGAGGTGAGTGCGGGCCCCTGCCCCGGGCGGGTTTCGCACGCTGACTCTGGCAGCCCTGTGGAGTGTGGAGAGAGTTTGCAAGCATGCCAGACTCTCGCCCTCGCCTTGCCTCAGGTGTACGCCTTCATCGCGCAGAGCATGCTCAGAGGCGCGTCGCGCGCCATGTACACCTTCTAGTCTATTTTATTAGGATTTTATCGTACAATGGAAGAAACTTGTTTCTGTAAGGTACCCACTCTCTCCCCTTGGCGGTGCTGGCAGTTGAAATCCGGTTCACTCGCACTAATCCACAACCGCTGCCGTACGTCCGGTTCACTCTCGGGGCACAATGCTGCCCTGTGGATGCGAGCACGTCTGCTGCGGCATTTGCGAGCACGCGGCTCGCGCAGGGCGCCCGCGCCTCTTCACGCGCGAGAGCGCGGCGCAGTGGGACCCCCCGAACCTCACCGACTACCGTGGCGCTGACAAGCTCGAGGCCCGCAACGGCGACAGCGGCGAGCCAACAATGTGGTTCTGGCAGATGACAGGTACGCGCTGGCCGGCACACGACAAAAGGGAGAGCCGCACGACCTTTAACACGGCCACGAAGGCTTGGCGTCGCCTGACCGCCTCCCAGGAGGAGCGGTCAGCAGAGACTGCGGCTCGCTACGATCGAGAAGATGCCAGGCTGGAGCTGGAGGCAGCAGAGGAGCTGCGCGTGGTTGAGGAGGAGCAGCGCGTGCTCGAGGAGAAGTGCAAGCAGGAGGCGCGCGAGCAGCAGCAGCAGCAGCGACGGCGCCGGGCCGAGGAGGCGGCCTCGCGCGTGCACGCCGCACGCAATCGTGTGCGCGAGCTGCCGATGCGCCCACGTGATGCGTCGCCGCGGATCGCGCTGCTGGCCGCGCTGCGGGGCGTCACAGGGAACCGCCTGTGCGACTGGGCGTGGGTCGAATCGGATCCGATCGGATCGAGCCGCGTCCGTTATTCGGTGAGGGACTCATCGCCCCGGCTCGAGCTGCCTCTCGACGAGCCCGACGAGATGATGGCGCGGATCGTTGCCGCGTCGGGCAGCGACGAGCGGCCGCCGTGGGCAGACTGGTGGCCGTCGCCGAGCGAACTGGTCGGCAATCCGCTGCTGGCGGAGAGGGCTCGCGCCTGGAGCCTGGAGAGAGGGCGCTCGCCAGAGCCGGAGCCGCGCGCGACGACGTGGGCGCTGCAGCAGGTGATCGCCGCGCGACGCGGGTGGGATGGCACGTGGAGCGGCATGCACGTGAGCGGCGGCGAGGAGACGGAGAGGAATGCTTTCCGCTGGCGGCGTGACACGCTGCGGCTGCGCTTCATCGAGTGCTGCCTGGCTCCCACCGCGCTGCCCGCACTGCTCGACGAGCCGGACTTGCCCGACTCGCTGTGGGAAGCGGAGCCGGGCTCGATCAACGACGAGGAGCTGGCGATGCTGGAGCGATGGGAGCGGGTGGATATGCACAACGAGCTGCTGCGCGAGTACTCCTTCTGCTACAAGCTCTTCTTCACTGCATCAGCAGCGGCGGCTGCGTCGTTGCCACCGCTCGCCCCGGGTGCGCATGCGTGGGCGGCATCAGTGCTGCGGCAGGCCGCGTGCGGAGAGCGCGAGCCGCTCAAGCTGGTGGGTGGCAAGTGGGCCTGCGACGTGCATGTCTCGTCCAACTTGAAGCTCGCGCTCGAGCCGCTGCCGCCGCGGTTCACCTACCCGGTGGCGACGCTCCCCGCTGCGATCGCCGCCATCGGCGAGGCGTGCAACCGCAACCGGTGGAGCTCGTGGCCGCCGCGCAGCCACTGCGAGTCGGAGCTGCCGCCGGCGCCGTGCGTGCAGGAGCTCTCGCGCTACTTTCAGGGCTCGTTCACCGCGGCGAGTACCGGCATCTGGGACAAGTCCAAGCTCTTCCCCGCCTCCTTCGACTTCCACGGCGGCTATCCGCAGCGACATCCCGCCCGTGCGGTGCCGACGCACCTGCCGCAGCCTGAGCACCGCACCGTCAGCCGCGTGAGCCTCAACCTCTCGGTGTTCCTGCGCACGCGAGGCTCGCACTGCCGTACCGATTGCGGCGAGATCGTTGGCGGCTCGTTTGCCGACGATAACTTCCCTTCTACGCACCCACCATACCCACCAATCGAGCCGCGCTACCACTCGAAAGATGAGATGCAGCGCTTCTACT